ATTTCAAAATGTAACTATTGTTGAAATTTATAGATGATTTTATATCATAGTTGAATTGCAGTGACTATTTTTTTTATATATATAATTTTAACCAATCAGGTAAAACATTTGACATGATTGTTTAAAATAGTCTTACCAGAATATTTAGAGAAATCTCGCACCGGTATGGATCTTTTCCTGATCTTTTTGGTTTCCGTTTGGACATAAATAAGCAGTATTGAAGGAGGGCTGAACACAACTCCGCAGCGTTTGGCCTCTAAACCCATTTTCTGGAGAAGGTGGTTAAATATGTTCTCCAGCTGGATCTTAAAGGTTTAAAAAAATAAATCTTAATTCATCATAGCGATAATATTTCTCACCAAACTCAACACAAAAAGACACATTTAAAAACTAAATAAACACAGGACCTTTCAGAGGCGTTACGATTTATCCCTTACGAGCAGTTTTCAGCGGAGCCTATCTAAAATGTAATTAAAATAGTCAAACAAACCAACGCTTTTTATTTATAAAAGTACATTTATGAACATTCGTTCAACTTCAATAGATTTTTTTTTTATAATTCTAGTATTACGACTTCAGAGCGACTTCAATTTGTTGAGAGATTTGATTTATAGTCAGGCAGATTTAAGGCCTCTATAAAAACTGCAAATTGGTCCTACCAAATCCATTTCCGTAAACAGTTTCATTAAAAAATCTAACATACCAGCAGTATGCGAACTACTTTTAAAATACACAAAAGCGTCAACTTTAAAGACTGTGATGTACTTTGAACTGTTTTTTGTGTTGATTTGTTTATCTAAATGTTATTGTTTGGACAGAGAGGGTAAGTAATACAGACTGATGTGAATGCATAGAATATATATATTTAAATAGTGTCAAATTGACTGTAAAGCATAATAAAAAAGAAAAAAAAAGAAATGTATCTCTCTTTACACCCAAATAGATTTAAACATGAGACATTTTATAAACAATTTAAGCCAAGAGCTGCCAAATAACTACAAAGTAAACAAGAAAAAACAAGACTTTTTTCTGATCTTTTTTTATCTTTAAAGTGTTCATGTTTGCTTTTGCAGATGATCAGGAACAATGTGCTCTGCTCATAAAGTGGCTTCACTCCTCCTCTGTGTCCCTGGAAGTCAGCAAGAAAGGCTTCCACAGGTATGAGGCTCTCCAACAATCATGATGTGATGAAGTGAATAACAGTTATTATCTCCCCATAATGACCCGTTAGGTGGTGACATGCAGCAGGCAACAAGCGAACAGTTTGTCTTCCATGTTTACATGATGGAAGCAGGTAGGACAGGCTGGCATAGAGGTTTGCATTAGTTTGACAAAGCAACAGATAGATGCCTGGGTTAGAGGAGCTCCACAGCTGTAGATCAAGTTGCTGAAGCTGAATTTGTCAGTTTTGAAAGAAAGGCACATGAAGTCAAAGTTGCCAAGATCTCAGTCCAGTTGTGGATTTAAGGGATGACAAATATGTCCGACTCTCAGAAACCTTTTTAACTAACCACAATGAAAGGATCTGCTTATATATATGTATATAAACTAATTTCTGTTGTGTTTTAGGGAGGTGACCACCACTGTTGATGTCAGACCAGAGGCACTAAGCAGTGGTGCCAGTGTTTTGCTGCTTCACAGATGGCCGAGGGGCGTCTTCGTAGATCCATATCAGTTGGCATCGCTAAGTGATCACAGTAACTGGGAGGTAACAAGACGACAAACATGATGCCGTTTATATTTCCTTTATAAGTGCATGTTAACGTGTTAATAACTGTATTTGGTCTTATTTCTGTCAGATATTGTTAGATTCAGCCATTGATCTAGAACTTCCGGCTCACAAGACTTCAGGGTTTTCTACCTATATGTTTCCCACCACACCACTTCCCAATATCCTAAAATTCAAAATTCCAGTCCACGGGCGCTACCATGAGTCGTCTTTTGCTGGAGAAACATTCACATCCGTTCACTTTGAACCTCCTGAGCTGCTTCTACGGACTAAAAAATGTAAACAATTCATGTTTGTTTTCCATTCTTTTCTTTATTTTTTTTATTCTCTTTATTGAAATACCACATCATCATAACAAAGATGGTTACAATATTACAACAAAAACATTTTTTTTTCCTTTTGTACAATCTGTTTTTCTATTCAGTACAGCTCGCCCATCGAACATAGGGCCGGATCTATCAAAGGTTTGCGTGTATAAAAACGTGAGCTATTTCGCTGCGCACGCTAAAAAATGTA